ATGTTGCAGTAATCTCACTCATCCATGAATTTACTTTCGCCTTACTTCCACCATAATTCCACAGTTCTTTACCATATCCACCACCACCCTACCACAGAATATCATGTCCAAGCTATCGCCTCCCTGTCATACACCCATTTTGACCAAGCTACAACCTCCTACCATAGCACCACCATGACCAGCATTGTGCTACCATCCCTCCCATAGCCCCGCCCCGGCGGCGTACCCTGTCTGCTGACGACAGAGGCTGCTTCTTGCTTGTTTCCACACAGACCGCATGGAGGAACTCACGAGGGGGCTCAGCGGGCCTCCGGGCCGCCCGGGCCGAGGCAGAACAGGGCGTCCCGGTTCCCCAGGAAAGCCGGGCCCCCAAGGTACTTCCTTCTGCATCTTGGTTAATAAGACAACGTAGAGACAGCCATTAAAAAGACGAGTCCAAACAGCTGTAGAGTTACAGGGATCGGACTTGGCCTTTTTATCGGCTGTTGCGCCTGCGTCCGACTAATGTAACCCTCAAGCAGTTCATTGGGGCTGCTGATCAACAGACCCGACCTGGTGGACTGGTGCAATACTGAAGCATCACCCCAGAGGTTAACGTAGTCTAAAGTACAGTAGAATAGTGCCAGCTTGGAATTTCAGTTTAATTTAAAAGGATTTGCTCATGCATCTGTTGACTGGGAGCTCCAATACTGCTGTACGAAATTGTACATAGAAAGTGAATATAGAAATTCTCACAGGTATGTCAGGTATTTTTCCCTTGAATCAAGTTTAAACATTTGATAGTCATGAGTAATAAGCATAATTTTTGAATAAAAGAATGTCTAGAGCCCTTTTTATGACTGTATTAAACTATTTTCCAAAGATCCTCCTTAGCATTCAAGGCAGTCTGGCCCTGCACCGACTCCAGGGCATGAGCGCATTTAACCCTCTGTCGCCTGCCGCAGGAAACCCCGGCTCCCCCGGCGAGTCAGGCGAGAGGGGCTACTCCGGCTTCCCCGGCGCCGCTGGCCCGCAGGGACCGGCCGGAGAGCCCGGCCCGCGCGGGTACAAGGGCGAGCGAGGCCTCATGGGCGAAGGCAGAGACGGCAAGCCAGGGCCGCCAGGACTACCAGGTGAGTGTCGCGCCGCCGCCGCCGCCGCCGCCGCCGCGCCCGAGCCAAGACGGGGGCGGCGGCGAGGGGAATCGGCCAGGGAAAGGGGGAGGCGGGAAACAAGGCCTGCGAACGGGGAGGGAAAGCAAGTCCTGGGAGTAGATGGAACATGAAAACAAGTCACGAGAATGCGGGATGGGGACAACGAGCCCTGGAGGCGGAGAGGGGAGGGCTGTCCTGGTAAGGCATGGACATGGGCCCTTGGATCAAGGTGGGAGTTTAAAAACCTGGGGAAACCATGGCACATTTACGCCATGACTGAGAAATTTATAAAGGTTAGAACAGGGGTGTCAAACTTTTACCCAAGAGGGCCACATTTCGCGTTAGTATGCAGTATGCGGGCCAGATAATCATGAGTAGATCAAAGCCACATCTGACTAAGGGTATGGCCACTTGGTTGACGTAAACACACGGGAAGCTCTTTAATTCGTTACAAATACAATAATAAAAAATGCAAGAATGTAAGTGATAATCTTAAAAGACGAAGGACTGGCTTCGTGTAGAAAGACCGACTGCACGACTGAGAGACCGAATGTGCCGCGGGCCACGTGTTTGACACCCCTGGGTCACGAGATGCTCGCTCCACATTCAACTACAAAAACAACAAAATCAAAACAAATGCAGCAGTTTTAGATTCCCAGGGTTAGGTTTACGTGTGTATGTGTGATTTATATATTAATCTATGTGCATGTGTTTGAGCGCGTGTGTGCGCCAGTCCGTGTCCCACAGAGCCCCCGCTAACGCGTCTCTCCCGCAGGACCGCCCGGGCCGCAGGGCGTCGGGCTTCCGGGCCGCATGGGCGAGCGCGGGTCGCCCGGCCAACCCGGACCCCAGGGCGGCCGCGGCTCCCCCGGACCCCAGGGGCCGCCGGGCCACTGCGAGTACTGCAACCCGCAGTCGTACCAGCCTTTCCAGGGGAACACGAAGGGCCCGTGAGCGACTCGCGCCCACGAGGCGGCGCCCACGACCCGGCTCGTCTCCTTCCGCTTTGTTGCTAGAGTTAGTTGACCCTCAGTCGTCCCTTCCTCTTGACGCATAGTCCTTCTTCAAATGACAGCTTTACTTATGTTGCCACACAAAAATGTATGCTACTGTAATTTGGAAAAAAACAATAAAATTTTCTTAGGTCTTGAAACATCTCTCAAACTTATGCTAAGTTAAGATTTTGGATTTTTTTTTTTGTCCCTGTATAAGTTATCTGTTAAGTGTACTCTTTCTTGATGACAATATCAGCAAGTCTTGATAAAAAAAAAACAGTTCCACAAAACAAGTCAGTTTCAGAATACTTACTTCATTCTAGAGTGAAATAAGAGTAAACCAAGAAAACATATCACACTAATCAAGTTTATCAAGACATTTTCGTCACCTTGATATCGGGATGTTAAATATCCCAGCTATCGTCACTGCCATTCCCTATGTTCTTATATTCTTAGGGTGATAAGCAAAACAGATGAGTGTGGGACTGCGCAACCTCCAGGTCTGAGAGTACGGTAAGCACCACGACCCCAAAATATGAACCAAAACGAAAATAAGAGGTATAAAATACAAGATAAAAACTGACATACAAACCCCAATAAAAGGAAATCATGATATCGAACTATTCTGATTGGTGGCTCTGAGCGCAAAATAATTTTTAAAAAAAGCAACAAAACAAAAGCCAAACGCAAAGCAACTATTCAAAGACAAAGCCAGCAGGAGAAAGGATGCTGTGCAAAGATCAGTAACAAAGGAACTAACGAAGTAAGTCCCTCTTGTGTCGTCTCACGTGACCTGGACGACCACGCCCACAAAGTCATCTGAAGGAACTCCACGCTGTGTTCATAATGGTGCTACTGCGGGTCCTCATGCCTCGTACCATGAAACTGCCATCGTGTATATTCTGTGTTACTAACATTTCCCCTGTATATAAAAATTTTTGTATCTAAATTAATAAAGAGTTGGCCAACATATCATGCCCCATTTCATTGTCTCAACATCAGGTGCTGGTGTCAGCTCACAGAGACGATTTTACTATGCAATTTCAGAAATAGTTGACCGGAAGTAGAAGAATGTTTTTTTTATAGACTAAAAGAAGGTGATTAGACTGTGAGGAGGGGGATCGAGGCAAAGCGAGAGAGAGAGAGTGAATGAAAGAAAGGGACACACGCACACACACATACAGGGAGGGAGAGAGAGAGAGAATGAATGAAAGAAAGTGGCACACACACATACATGGAGAGAGAGAGAGAGAGAAAGAAATGAGGGATATATATATATAGATAGAGAGAGAGAGAGAGAGAGAGAGAGAGAGAGAGAGAGAGAGAGAGAGAGAGAGAAATCATTCAATGGGGAATTTACGTGTCAATTCTAGGATACATCCCACAACGAACCCCAGACAAAATCCTATTGCATATCAGTATACCAGATGCCTACGCTCGACTCTTTCGCCGCTACCCATCTTGACCTTAACTCGCCGTGCGGACTTGCAAATGGCCTTTCCACTGCTTTCAGTTTTCCAGGAACAGGTCACTTTGGTGGTGTTCTGAAAACGTTTTTTCATCGCGATACCATTTAGTTTCGTATGATTTCAGATGGTCCCGTTGAACGTTTGTCATACACTATGCAGTAGTGTTTATATTTCTTTCTTTTTTTTTAATTCTGACCCATTCCATTGATATATTTTGTATACATTGTTTTGTATGCACTATTTCCTCCGCCACGAAGGTTATGTTTTGGTTGCGTTGGTTAGTTTTTTTCGTTTTTTTTTTTTCGTTTTTCGTTGGTTAGCAGGACAACTCAAAAAAGTTGTGAACAGATTTTTACCAGAGGTGTGTCTTAGCACAACTTAGGTGCCATTCAATTTTGGAGGCGATCTGGATGTTATAAGTTCGTTGGATAGCAGGATAACAGAAAGTTGTGAACAGGTTTTTGTGACATTTTTTTTTTTGTGTGTGTCTCAGCCCAACTTAGATGCCATGGCGGTGGTGATTCGGGCCTTTTTATTCCATCAGTGACCCTATGGCATGGCGGAGGTATGCGCTATGTGGGGCTTCTAGTTGATACATGTAATTGGTTACTTATAAATGGCGGCCCACGGACTCAAGACTCCCGGTATAAGTATTACACATTACTGCGCGTCACAAGCCACATGTTGTCTGGACATTTCCCAAGAAAATGGCACTACGGACAAGCGAATATAAACCAGCCGCCAAAACAAGAGAACTTTCACGAGACATTATGCTATTCTTGTGAAATACTAGATGATATTTCTCCTAGTTCATTCAGTTCCGGTAAATGGATAGGGGGAATACTCGAGCCCACACAGCCACGCACCAGCCAGACATCTCATCAAAACCTGCTGTGTCCGGATCTATTAATAGTCCGGACACCAAACTAGCAGTACTTTATCGGGGTAAAAGTAGTTCAAAGATTAACCCAACTCTGATCTGCAGCGAACCACTTCCCTCACCAGTACAACGCCTTCTCGTCCCTGGAACAAACGACTTCCGAAAACCGAACACAGAAACTATACTCGAGTCCTGGACAAACCTATAAGAACTGAAATCCATTGTGCTTCAACTAATTCAAATTCTTGATATCTTATTTTTGTACATATATTACTAAACAAACACAACCCGTGCTGAATCACTGACAAGAATTTATTAAGTGACAACTATATTTACTGTATGTTCTCTCAAACAAGGATTTTCCAAGAATAAACTGCATTCACCTAAGTTCTGCGAAATGATAAGACAGAAAATATATTCACCTATTTTTCCCTCTCAAAAAAGAAGCCAAAATTAGATCGGCGAATTTGCACACTGGAGTCCTTCCTAATTTAGATCACGAGTCCTTCAAATTTTAAGGATT